CCTTAAGAACAGAAGACAGGATGTAATAGAGACGAACAGATTTCCATCAAAAGACAAAGGAAGATGTAGTTTCCTCCTTTCCCTTCACTCCAAAATGAGTTCTCATCAGCACCTGAAATTCTGGTCTGAAGACTACCTAACCTTCCAGAGCACCAACTGAAAATATTTGCAAATATCTGGGAGATCGCGTCTTCTAATATCCTCTAAGTCAAGTTTGCCTAGACCAGTGGTTCTCAACCTATGGGTCCCCAGATGTTTTGGCTATATCTCCCAGAAATCCCAGCCAGTTTACCAGCTGTTAGGATTTCTGGAAGTTGAAGGCCAAAACATCTGGGGACCCATAAGTTGAGAACCATTGGCCTAAAGGTTCTCAAGAGAGGCCGTTCTTTTAATCCCACTCTTTTTGCAGGTATGGCTGGGACCATTAAGTCCTCAGAACTTTATCACATGAACCTGTTATTCCACTACAGATATGCTATCATTCATACCAGATACACACTGAGTTCGATATTGCACCTCCCTTCCATTGCAAAATTGCACCAATTTTCCCGTTCATGGTCCTGCGATCGTCCTTCTGCATATCCTTGTAACCTGTCTTCCCACTACTCCTCGTTGTTTATTTATTTCTAGTGCAATTGCGCAATTCCAGCTTTTAAAAATTAAAAAACAAGCCTAATTGTGATAAAATATGAAATAGAAAAATGGCAACTTTGGGAATAATGAGGGGAGAAAGTGGAAGATAATCCCACCCCTGATATCACTTTACCGTCAGCATTCTGGCACAGAATCACAAGGAACTGATAGCACCAATGTGGGTGATTGTGAGCTATTGATGTGTTTTGATGTGCGTCAATAGCAGAGGGCAGAATAATTATTGGGAGGAGCCCAACCTGCAATAGGATGCACATTGTTTGATAGGAACTGTCACCAAAGGTCCAGCTGCAATGCCATGTGGTTAATTGGCTGGGATTTCTTGGAGTTGTAGGCCAAAAACATCTGGGAACCCCAGGTTGAGAACCACCACCATATTGCCTACCTTGTGTGATAAAGTTCTTTTTCTATCACCCTCCAAAATCCCAATGGCTCTGATCCAGACTGAGCTAATATGCCTGAATCTTTTTACATGCCTTTCATAGTGCAATTGCAACATATCCGGCTGAGCATTTTCCTCCTGTCTATATTATAGTTGGCTCCAAACTCACTCATGTATCCAACCATGAACTGCATTTGTATGCAAAACAAAAGCACTGCCAGGAAGCAACAAAAACAACATAGCTATTTCTACAGATATTTCATCTCCGATTCCAGCCTGTTAAACCAACCCATGGAGAAAAAAAATGAGAAGAAAATTTTGACACCGGTTTCTGCAGAACAGACAGTGCAACAATACAGGTTGAGTCTCCCTTATCCGAAAATGTGGGGCCAATAATATTGTGGATTCATTTGGATTTTGGAATACCAATACTTGCAATTATGTACATTATGAGATATCGGAGAAAGGAGCCAAGTCAAAACATGAAATTCATTGATGTGTCAGAGACACCAACCTAGCCTGAAAGTATACAACATTTTAAGTAATTTTGTGCCTGAAACAACCTTTATATACATTGAAACATCATTATTTCAGCTACCCATTTGGACAGTTTTGGAGTACAGTAGAGTCTCGCTGATCCGACCTTCGCTTATCTAACATTCCGTCTTATCCGACGCTCTTATCCAACACCCCCCTTTTCCTCCAGCATTTACCTTTTAATTTAAGGAGCAATCTCCAACTCTCTCCATTCCCAATAAGTGAAAAAGGCAAGACAAGGAGGAGGCACAAAAGGGGGAAAAGACGCAGGACCGGAAGTGGAAGCCTCCTCCCTCCTTCCCTCTGTGATTTCCACGCTCCTCTTCCGCATCCGGATACTTCCTGTTAGGCTGCTCTAGTCTCAATACATTGCCTTTACCTTAACCCTTTGAGTTAATGTTGCTAGTATTCTAGGTGTCTATCACCGCGTTGGATGGGTAACAGTAGGAGACTCCATATTATCCGACATTTTTGTTTATCCGACGTGTCAGACGAGTAACAATAGAAGACTCCGTATTATCCGACATTTTTGTTTATCTGACGTGTCAGATGAGTAACAATAGGAGACTCCGTATTATCCGACACTTTTGTTTGTCCGACGTGTCAGACGAGTAACAATAGGAGACTCCGTATTATCCGACATTTTTGTTTATCCGACGTTCTGCCGGCCCATTTATGTCGGATAAGCAAGACTCTACTGTACTTCTAATTTCAGAGGTATGGATGCTTATCCTGTATAACTTCTACAGTTCTGCCATGTAATCCATTCTTAGAGATGCTTTTTTACACACTGAAAAATAAAATAAATGAAGAAAACAATAGCCAAGGTGGGTGTGAGAGCCTAACTTGGGTTGTATTGCTTAAATCTCTCCACCCAGAAGTACACATTAGTTGTTCCGTGTCTTGAGCAGCAAGGCTGTGTGACTGAACCAAGAAAGCAAATAGGAAACCCAATGTGCAAACAGAGGAGGACATGCACCCATGTGCAATGTACAATGTATGCACCAGGCATAGGGAAACTTTGGTCTTCGAGGTGTTTTGGACTTCAATTCCCACAATTCCTAACAGCCTCAGGCCCCTTCCTTTCCCCTCTCAACCGCTTAAGCGGCTGAGGGGGAAAAGGAAAGGGCCTGAGGCTGTTAGGAATTGTGGGAATTGAAGTCCAAAACACCTCAAGGACCAAAGTTTGACCATGCCAGGTATACACCCCTAACTGTCCTGATATGGAAGAGACAGTCCTGATTAATCCTCTTGTCATCCCATCTTTCCAGCTACATTTAAATGCCCAGTTTCCGTCTCCTCCTCTCAGTTCACCCCCTTTGTCCTCAATTCGTTTAAATTATTACAAACTGTGCAAAAATAGTTTGTACTCCTTTAACTTAGCAGGGGGGAGAAGGAAGGAAGGTGAGGGATCTTACTGTTCCCAGTAGCTTACAGCAAAACCACAAACTGCTACAGCCTCTCCCAGTTTGTTGTTCCTCATGGATAACTTTGGCCAACTTGATCACTCTCTGGTGTTCCCTGATCACACATGTCCCAGTTTTCATTTTGCACATTCCCCAATGTGAAACATTGGCAGTAGCATGACATACGCAATATATGAACATAGATTTTGCGCATTGGGCAGGAGTGGCCAAAAGTCCCTTTTAGGTTTTGCAGAAGAGTGGATAAGAAGCCGGGGTGGGGTTCTTCTGCATCATATTTAAAAGTTGGATTCTTCTCCTGGGTGCTTTTAGGAGAGGTGGTTCACCTTTTTTCGAGACCAGATAAAGAGGTGATTCAGGGAGTCTGTATGGGTCTTGACCTGGCATGGGCAAACTTTGTCCCTTCAGGTGTTTTGGACTTCAACTGAATTAAGAAAGCAAATGGGAAACCCAATTTGCAAACAAAGGAGGACACCTCACTACCTCTGAGGATGCTTGCCATAGATGCAGGCGATATGTCAGGAGAGAATGCCTCAAGACCATGGCCTTATAGCCCGAAAAACCTACAACAACCCAAAGGAGGATATGCAGTCATGTGCAATGCACAATGGATACACTAGGCATGGACCAACTTGGGCCCTCCAGGTATTTTTGACTTCAAATCCCACAATTCCTAACAGCCTCAGGCCCTTTTTCTGCACTGGAAGTACACAAAGCATCTAAGTTGCAATGTCACTTTGGGGAAGATCTTGGCATTTGGAGGTGTTGGGAATCCAAAACACCTGAAGGGCCGAAGTTTGACAATGCCTGGTCAAGACCAACATGACTGCAAGTCTCCAGGCTCAAGATCAGCAGGAAGGAGAACAACACAAGATGAATAGCCCTGAAAAGAATGAAGACTTGCAAGAACCATACCCAAACATTGGGGGATAAGGAAACGACACAACAGTGCTTGGTGACATAGAGCGCCAACAAGATAACTTCTGTACACCAAGCAGAAAGGTTCTGCCTCCTTATCCTGTCAACAAGGTCATCCATCCATTGAAGACAGTGAGATATGGAATGTATGACAAAGAAAGCTCTGTGAGCCAAAGCAGTTTAGTTAAATCACTGGTCAAGCCAAACGCTCCTGTAAAGAGCACTGTGCAGGTTCTCCCATTCAAGGTATTTAAAAACAAAATGCAGGAGAGACAAAAGTATGTTGGGAATGCTAAGCCCTGCAAGCCAAAGGTGTTCAATAGTATCATCCACTCCTTTTCCTGGGCAGTTGGGAGTACGAAACAGAATGCATGAGAAACAGAGTCTGCTGGGAATGCCAAGCTCTGCAAGCCAAAGGAGTTCAATAATATCACCTATTCCTTTTCCTGGAGAGTTGGAGTCCATAACATCTGGAGGACCAAAGTATGCCCATGCCTGGTCAAGGCTAACATGACTAAAAGACTCCAGGCTCAAGATTGGTAGGAAGGAAAACAACACAAGGTGGATAGTTCTGAAAAGAATGAAGACTTGCAAGAACCATACCCAAACATCAGGGGATAAGGAAACTATTCAACAGCGCTTAGTGACAAAGGGCGCCAACAAGATAACTTCTTTATACCAAGCAGAAAGGTTCTACCTCCTTATCCTTTCAACAAGGTCCTCCATCCTTTGAAGACAGATATGGAATATATGATGAGGAAATCTCCTTTTCCTGGGGAAAAGGAGAGGCAACTCTTGGAATATCTTAAGAAAAAATTTGAGGCTGCAAAAATTTGCAAACAGAAACTGGAGGAGGAGAAGAGATGGCAATAAGAACAGTGGAAGTGGAAGCATGAAGAGCGCTTTTGCAAAGCGAAACGGGCTAGACACAGTGGCTCTCAGCCTGTGGGTCCCCAGATGTTTTGGCCTTCAACTTCCAGAAATCCTAACAGCTGGTAAACTGGCTGGGATTTCTGGGAGTTGTAGGCCAAAATACCCGGGGACCCACAGATTGAGAACCACTGGGTAGAGTGTGGGCAGAACAGGAGGAGAGAGTGCTTGTTGGGGCATAGCCAGGCAGCCCGAGGGGCTCACAGAAACCCAAATATATTTCTTATTTTAGAGCATTTTGGGAAAGGAGGGGCAGGACAAGGAAAGAAAATGTTAGAAAAAAAGAGTTCCAAAAACCGCTATGTTGATGCATGTTTTGGAGATCATAGGGTTGCATTTTGCCCCCTGCCTCCCTATCCTGATATGTTAATGGGGAAGAATGGCAAACCTGCAAGTGCCGCAAGTGCATTGGTTTCAAGATCCCTGACCAATGCAGCTAAAATGTCATGGCAAATGAAGACGGTTATATTTTTTAATTTATGTATCTAGGACTGCCTCCATGAGCAGAATATAACAAAGTGGCCGAGGATGACGATAATGCATACTATAGATCAGTGGTTCTCAACATGTGGGTACCCAAGTGTTTTGGCCTACAATTTCCAGAAATCCCAGCCAGTTTACCAACTGTTAGGATTTCTGGAAGGCCAAAACATCTGGGGACCCACAGGTTGAGAACCACTGCTCTAGAGCAAGAGAGGCTACCGTTTAAGGGGCCACATTGTTCCACACACATATGTGACCTTGGAGGGTTGCTCCCATCATGTTTCGCCATGTCTTAGGCCATTTTAATAATTGAAGAGCCCCAAAATCAATTCCTATTCAGTTGCTGTTTTTTTAAAAGTCTCTTTTGGACTTTAAATAACCTGGAGAGGTAAACAATGCAAAATCCCTCCCCACATATGCCCTGGAAGGCATTTGAGGAGAAAAAAAATACCCCTTGAAAAATATTTTGGGGAACCTTGGAGCCACAAAGACAATCCTGGATGAAACCACAGCCAGCTCTTTGCCCACCTCTACTTTAGATAAATTGGCAATGCATTTTTCAATGGAATTAGTAAAATAATAATAAGAAAACACGCCACACAAACCGCATTCACTCCTCACGTCAGATCATCCATCCATCCAACATGAAAGCACACCTTCATAGTTTTTCTCCCCTTTTTTGAGTAACCTGTAGAGCACCATACCAGATTGGAGGGGACCCAGTGCAAACGAACCTATGCTGCTGCTGGTTACATAGCCTATTCTCTTTAGGAAGATCACCGGCTGAAGTACATGCACAGTAATTAGGGCGAAGGGGAAGAAAACCCAAAACAAACGTACTTTAAACACCTCGGTCCTTTCCTTAAATCTCGGTGGACTCTATCCTCTCCAACCTGGACGGAGTCCACGTTTTCTTCTCGTCGGTGTGCGGCGAGCTGGTGACTTTGCTGGTCATTTCGTTCACCTTGTGCTCCAAGATTTGGTTCTTCTGGTACATCTCCACATAGTTCAGCTGCAGCTGCTTCTGGTACTTGATGACCTTCTCCTTCTCCTCCTGCCAAGTGCGGCGCTCCCCTTCGAAGTCCGCCACTTGCTGCTCCCGCTGCTGGCGCTCCGCCTTCAGCTCCGCCTGGAGCCGCTCCACCTCCTTCTTGAGGGCGCCGAGGTTCTCCTCGCTCTGCCGCTTCATCTTGGCCTCGTCGCTCTCGCAGGCCAAGGGGTCCCCCCGCACCAGCTTCTCCGCCAGCTCGGAGGGGTCGGCGTGGCCGTGGGGGCTGCCCAAGCTGGCCAAAGCCTGCTTCAGGCTGGACACCTCCGCCTCACACTGGCTGAGCTTCTCCCTCAGCATCTGCACCTCGGTCATCTTCCGCTGCAGCTCGTTCTCACAGATATCCAGGCTGACACTCTTGTTACTGTAGGAGTCCTTCAGAGTCAGCATCTGCTCTTCCTTCTCCCGGAGGAAGCTCTTGCCTTCCTTGAGCTGCGTCCGCAGGCCCACGATCTCGTTCAGCTTCTGGGAGACGTCGGATTGGGAGTCCTTCAGCTGCTGCTTCAGCAGGGAAATCTCACCTGCCTTTTGGCACACCTGGGAGAAACAAAGAGAAAGAGAGATGTGTCCGGATATCTCTGGGGATCACAACCAGACATGGTGAAGACATCTGCCCTTGTGCTTTGCTTTTTTTGCAAGCAAAAAGTGGGCGCTAGAAATAATATCACACGAAAAATGACTGGCACAACCTGGAGATCACAACCAGATGCAGTGAAGACATCTGCCCTTGTGCTTTGCTTTTTTGCAAGCAAAAAGTGGGCACTAGAAATAATATCATACGAAAAATGACTGGCACAACCTGGAGATCACAACCAGACATGGTGAAGACATCTGCACTTGTGCTTTGCTTTTTTGCAAGCAAAAAGTGGGCGCTAGAAATAATATCATACGAAAAATGACTGGCACAACCTGGAGATCACAACCAGATGCAATGAAGACATCTGCCCTTGTGCTTTGCTTTTTTGCAAGCAAAAAGTGGGCACTAGAAATAATATCATACGAAAAATGGCTGGCACAACCTGGAGATCACAACCAGATGCAGTGAAGACATCTGCCCTTGTGCTTTGCTTTTTTGCAAGCAAAAAGTGGGCACTAGAAATAATATCATACGAAAAATGACTGGCACAACCTGGAGATCACAACCAGATGCAGTGAAGACATCTGCCCTTGCGCTATGCTACTCTGCTGCTGAATATGCATGCCCAGTGTGGAATACATCTCACCATGTTAAAACAGTGGATGTTGCTCTCAATGAGACAGGATTATCACAGGATGTCTACACCCCACACCACTGGAGAAATTATACTGTTTAGCTGGTATTGCACCACCTGACATCCGCTGGGAAGTCAGGTGGTGCAGTCTGGCGCGGGCTGGTCCATGAGGTCACGAAGAGTCGGAAACAACTGAACAAATGAACAACAACAACCATCCTAAAAAGGGAGAATATATATTTTTGAATGATTTTTTTTAAAAAAGGAGCTGATTTCTCACAACAAAGACAACAACAACTTTATTTATACCCCGCCACCATCTCCCCAAGGGACTCAGAGCGGCCAAGCCCAACAACACATCAATAAAAATAGTAGGGAATAAGTAAAATAAACAATACAGTTAATATAACTCACACATAAACAATAACACACAAGGATTTAAAAACCTATGGCCGGGCCAGATGTAATAGTTAAAACTTTAAAAATAAATGCTGGACATGAACAGAGGATGTATCTAGTAGGAGGATTTTAAACGAAAACAATTGGCAGCCACTACACGCCAGGGCTTAGAGGACTACCTTACTTTGCATTCCAGAGGGAAGAAGTGGATGCAAAGATGGTTACATAGCAAACTAGGGGTTCATCTACACTGCAGAGTTCATGAAGTTTGAATAGCTCAGTGCTAGGGAAACATGAAAGTTGTAGTTCGGCGCAATCTTAAGCCTCCCTTGCCTAAGAGCGCTAGTGCCTCATCATACTACAATTCCCAGTATTCCACTATGGCAGATAGTGGTGTCTAACTGCATTGATTCAACATTGCAGATGCAGCGTGATGCACTAAAACTTTTGCAGGTTCTCCTTTCTCCATCCTTTCAATACAAACTGAAGGCTCCATAGCAGGCACAGGCAAACTTTGGCCCTTCCTCCAGGTGTTTTGGACTTCAACTCCCATAATTCCTCCCATAATTCCTAACTCTACTGTGAGTTTTCCGGGCTGTATGGCGATGTTCCAGAAGAATTCTCTCCTGACGGTTTGCCTACATCTATGGCGGGCATCCTCAGAGGTTGTGCGGTCTGGGTTGTTGTAGGTTTTGCAGGTTGTATGGCTATGTTCTAGAAGTATTCTCTCCTGACGTTTCACCTGCATCTGTGGCAAGCATCCTCAGAGGTTGTGAAGATGCTTGCCCACAGATGCAGGTGAAACATC